AGATAGATAGATAGATAGATAGATAGATAGATAGATAGATAGATAGATAGATTTTTTTTTTTCCGTGATTGTCAAAACCAGGATAAGATTAGCTTAGCTAAGCACAACAGAATGAAGCCAGGGGAAACAGCCAGCCTGGCTTTATAAACTCTTTAAAAGCCCTTTAATCTGTTGACATTTGTAAATTAAACACCATCAGTTGGACTCATGAACATTTTGAAGTGAAAAAAAATGTTTGCTTAAAATAACATCTTAAAACTARAAGTTTGTTCAAAAGAGAAACATTAAAAAYAGCATTAAAACAATGATGTGGTCAATTGCTCACTGGGACAAAGCTTACTGCACAATAATTCCACTCTGTTCTGTGTTTGCACCGATGAGGTGAACAAGAGCTTAAATCAGTTTTGGGTCGCTGCAGTGGAATTTAAGCACAGCTCAGTGTGAATTTAAAATTACGTGCTCTGAATGTTAGATTACAAGTGTGTGCCTGCCTGTGTGTGATGTGTTTATCACTTTGGTGTGTGTGTGTGTGTGTGTGTGTGTGTGTGTGTGTGTGTGTGTGTGTGTGTGTGTGTCGCCTAGTGTGTTTTTGTGCGTTTGTGTTTGTGTGTAATGTGTTTGTTTGCACATCCGGTGTGTATTTGTCTGTCTGTCACACTGAGGTCTTACATAATTCTGCCCAAAAGGAAAGCTCTTGCTAGTCTGCAGCATGCTCTGTAGCAGCAAACCACAGCAGCAGGCAAAGTGTCCTTGAATTACCTTACCCGAGTCACTTCCTTCTTCTTTTGTTTAATCCTTTCGCACACATTCAGTCTATTAATCAATTTCTTTTCTTATGAATGCATGTCTCCCAGCCCCTAAAAAATGCGTATTTAAACATCGTTACAAGTATGTCACATTTTGCTGCTCTAAAACCACGAGTAGATGTTCCCACTCCCCCTACAATGTTTTGGTATCAGTTTGTGTGGAATGAGACGTGTTTCCATGTGTGTTTGTGAGCGTGTGGGYTGTGTCTGCGCTACAGCTTGCTACCTGCAGTGCTTGTCACGTGTCGAGGGGAAAATGAGGATGGCCTAGATTAGATTCAAACTATCTAGGGCATGTGCGTGTCCCCCATGCCATCAGTGCTGGTTCTGCTCCATGAGATTACATGCATAAAACGTGCACACATGCAAGGCAATGCACAGACACAGACACAAGTGTCCACAGCTGGATAAACAGATGTGYGCATTTTCATTACGACATGGGGTAATACACCTCCCAGTATGTTTTATAGTGTTGGCCATTTGTGTGACTAATGTACATCACTTGGGACAGCAGATGAATGTGCTTGTTTTCGAAGAGGTTACAATGTCAATACGGCTGTAAATGAAATCATTAAGGAGTCATAGTAAACCATYCAGATCTTTCATTGTCATCTTAATCCTTCACTCGTCATTTACACTAAACAGACACCAAACTATTTTATATCGTAACATAAATGTTAAGATAATAGGATAACCYTATATGACCTGACGCTAAAGCGCTTGTATGGCTTATTTACAGWATAGCTTGGTGATTCATAAAGTGCAACATAAATGAAAAACTACCTGTCACWATGGACTCAAAAAGAATGTGCTACACATTCCTGTTCGAGGCTAATGTCCTTTATGGTCTCATTGCTCATAAAGATTGCTGTGTGTTGAGGAGAGCTGTTTTTCATTGTCTTATTCTTCTCTCTGCCTTGATGTGATTTTACTGTGCTGAGTGAATCCTGCTCCATGGTACTTCTAATGTATGTGTAAAATATCATTAGGTGTCACAGCGCTGATGCATCAAATGCAGGGGTATTGGATGCAGACAGGAAATGAAGCAAGCATCATTATGCATTGTACGTACTGTATATGGCTCTGTTCAATGCTCAAATGCAAACGTTACACAAAAATCTAATGTTTTTTTGTGTGGATGTTCACATTATATTTTAAATGTGACCTGCATCAGACTCCAACTTTCCAATGCTCAGATTCAACCTGCATGCGCAGAGTATGACGTGACGTCACATTCAGCTCGCTGTTTACAGAAGTAGCTAAAGTGTATGTGCAATCAGAGACAAAAACATAATTATCTAACATGTTTTGTTCAGTGCTTACATTTGAAGCTGCTTCTGACTGGAGCTGGGAATAATGTTATTGTTGGAATGGGAGCAACATGCTGGAAGTAACRTTTTAATCTAGTAACTTGATACGGCCCTCAATCAACTTTAGACAATACTATCATAGGTGGATTCTCAGTCATTTGGGACATGAAACATTAAATGAACAAAGGTAAATCAAGACTTCTATTCTGTGGCTGAAGACTTGTGTAGTTAAATATATTAAACTGTCAGGAGTTGGTATCAATGGGCTTCATACAAGAACATGTTCGTATTCTTATCCTAAATTTCTCTTACTTTTGTTCGTACGAACATGCCACGTCAGATTCAACAAACTCTTCTATCTTCAGGAAAAGTGTGTAAATGAGGAGCATAAACTGATGAATGCGTATCAGGTGCTCGCGCATGAGGGGAGGTGATTAGCATAATCACCACCCCAAAAGCACCATATAAGGATATAAGTTCCTGCCCCAGATACCAGGAAGTGTCCATTCATACATGACATTGCAAAGTAAAAAAGAAGAACTTTACGAGTTTGGAGACTAAGTCCTGCTSTCAGAGATCCAGAAAAAAAAAGTMATTTTTGCAACGTCAGCTGTGGAATTAAAGGAGCTGCTAAAGCCAAGGAATGAAATGACAACTGCTGCTAATGTTGTGTCTCCTGTGGGTCGTACACAGTCACAAAAATAAAAAATCTAAATCAAATCCATGTCTCTCAAGTCCTACTCCATTTTTTTATTTGGTCTAATATTTTTAATGTGGGTGTAAACTACGGAAGCGTATTGCTATCAGGCAGGGAAAAAAAATTCCGAGCGCTATCACGTTAAAACGTGATACGTATCTTGTTAAAACGTGATACGTATCATACGTATCAACAAAACAGATTGTACCCTGCAGTAATCCGTGCGATTACTAATTTGTGCCCTCAGTTTCTGCAATCAGTGCGCACAGATTGTGTCGACAGGTTGGACGCATGGTACAATCTGTTTTGTTGTATCCGGTTTTATTGTGAGAGGCTAAACAGGAAGTGAATACTGTGAGTGCAGAGACAACTTGATGTTTCGGTGTTAGGCTTGAATCTTTTCCTCAGAATACAACCGTATGAAGCCGCATCTTCAAGGTAAATCCAGTGGATCTCTTGTTATATAAACTTAAGGACGTTTAACGAGATACGTATCACGTTTTAACGAGATAAGTATCACGTTTTAACGAGATACGTATCACGTTTTAACGAGATAA